TACTGCTTCCACGAGTGTTGATAGTTGATCCAAGAAGAATGAAGTCCTTGACAACTTCAATCTTTTCTCCGTTGATAAGAATGTTGTTTATTGGTCCAGCGGTGAGGATTTGTGTTTTTCTTGCCGGGGACTTGCCTCAACATAGGGGTTCGGTTCACGAGGTTGAGATACCTGACGGCGATAGAGATAGCAAAAGAGACACAGAGACACAAAGAGAGACACCAAGAGACACTCTGAAACCAGAGTGAATGCTGGACTGGCATCAGGCAGATCCTGCATTGCAAACATCTCAGCCACGAAGGCCGTAATATCCTGCATAGTAAACATCTTCGCTAAACAGGCAGTATAGTTGCAAGGCTGGACTGTGCCCCCTGCAAGCTGTAAGGCATGCCTTGCCAGTCGTAATGCACCTGGATTCGTTCTGTGCCTTCCTTTTATTTAGGGGAGGTACTTTACACAAAGCTAGGAGGGGACTAAGACAAGATACAGCTGTCAATCTTACTTTTCCAGACATTCAGGCAACTTTACATCATACTTTGCAGGTTCGAACCTCATGACAACAACTTGGTTTCTCAAGCTTAATTAACATACCTTTTAGCACCTAGCCTCAAATGGAGGGAGGAAAGGGAGGATCAGGAGGATGCCTATTGTGTTGGCTGCCCAGCCCAGGTTCTTCAGGAAAAGAGGCACCTGGGTGAATAGGCAGCACCTGGAAACACTTTAGGGAGAGCATTCCTATTGTCCTTGGAACAGACCAGGGAGCCACCCAATTTACCTTGAATGCATTCTCTGAGGGAAGAACTTTGCCTGTTTGGAATTTTACAGTCTTGGCTTTTAGGAAAATATTACATTTAACTGTGTATATCAAGGGCTTCATGTCTGCAATTAATAAAACATAACTGGATATTAAGATGAAAAATAATTTGTTATTAACTGCCAGGGGGCTAGATCTGTTACACTCAGTCTATAGGGCCTCAAACATCTGACCAGGCCTTCACGGTCTGCAACATTTTCTGACATTGAGATGCAACCCATACCGAAGGCTGGGCTGTGCTCTTTGATCTTCAGTCAGTAAGTATTTTAAGTCCTCTTCACGGCAAGGCAAGGTTGTATCATCTGCATATGGCAGGTTGTTAATGAGTCCTCCTCCAATCCTGATGCCACGTTTTTCTTCATAGAACCTAGCTTCTTGTATTATTTGCTCAGCATACAGGTTAAATAAGTATGGCGAAAGAATACAACCTTGTCTCACACCTTTCTTAATTTTAAACCATTCAGTGTTCCCATGCTCTGTTCGAACAACTGCTTCTTGGTC